CTTTCTACATAAAACCTTAATTTTGCAATCTGTTTCAACCAAATGCTGAAGTAACTGTTTTTGGTTTGTATTTTTAAGTGGTTCCTTCTTAAACTTAAGAGGAATTGAATGTATTTAGACCTCTGAGATTTTCTTGGGACGTGGGTAAAATGCAGTACATGTTGAGCATTTGCACCTCATAGTATTAGTCCATTAAGACAGAAAGCAATGCTACGTAGTGTTTCTTAAATTTATTTTTCTGTTTTTCTGCATCCCTCCAAAGAAAATAATACTGACAAACAAATGTATAATTAACAATGTAAGCGTATATTTTTATAGAGAACAGAAAGCACAGCCATCAAAAGTCCTCTTGCTGAGTACTGACCTGTGTTGGGAATGTAATAATGTCATAAATCTACTTCATATTTGTTTCCACATACCCATGTTTTAATTCTCGGCCGTTCACTGTTAATGCTGAAGTTTAGATTTTGAAATATTCTCAGTAGAATTATGACAGAGCAAAGCTATACAGCTTCACTGTGTTGCCTTTTGCTAACTTTGAGCTGAAGCCCGTCTTTTAAATGAATTCACTGTCACAGAGCTCCTGACCTCAATCCTACTGAGAATCTGTGCACTGACTTCAAAAACTGCTGCCCATAAGCAATTTGCAGTAACTTGGAATGACTTGAGCACATTTTCCCAGCAGGATGGGTTAAAATGCATCAGACCAGCTTGCTAAGTCTGTGACTGTAACTGCTATTTATTATGGCATTTTTGTTATCTGTTGCACTAAAGCTATATTCTAATAATGGCAAACTAGAAATAAAATCATCACCATATCTTTCATTGTTTTTTATGCCAGTTATCAGACAGCTTGGTCATTTGGATTAATTGCCCTGGCTTTCCTTACATAACTCTCCATCTACTCAGAAAAATGCCAAACACTGGGCATTTATTTTATGGCTTGATGGAAATAATTCATGAAGTTTCTCTCTTGGGAAAATAAAACCATTTCCCGCTCCGAGAGGCAGGTAGCGTACAAGTGTGTCTGCACTTGGAATAGCCTGCACACAAATGTAAGTGTAGACAATGAGTAGAGTCTGTACAATAAAGATGTGGAGTAGAGTCTGTACAATAAAGCAAAGATGCATTGGAGTGTCAAACTGAGCTGTTGCAGTTTCCAAATTAGAATATTAATTCTATCATTCTATTTTTGGTATGAAAAATGTGATTTTTGGCTGCTGTAACTTTCTGCAATTTCCTTTGTAATTAATTACCTATTATCTATCTACTAATCATCTATCTACAATTATCTATCAATATATCCTCATTCTAATCTAATGCAATGTCATTAACTTTAACCTTGTCAGGAAAATAGGAGGTACTGATCCAGATGTTATCGAAAAATACTGAGCGAGCAGCTCCGGACAATTTTAAAAGAATATCTGTATCGGCGATGCAGCGTTTTGAGTATTAAGCCTCCCCATGTCACGGACGGCCGCACGCAAACCCCAGATATCAGAGGAGGAAGTCTTTGAAATTCTCCATTTGTAAGCAATGTGTTAAATGTGTGAACTTGCAAGTTCAGCATCTTATTTTAAATCTGGACTCTGCTTTTCGCGCAACCGGTACTCAGCTGTGATGAGTTAACACCTCCCCCACTTCGGTATCAAACTTCCCCTCACTGCATTAGCCACCCACGTGTTTGTCTAAATCAGTCCGATATGCACGGCTTTCTACGAGCTCTAATTAATGCGAAAAGTTGCCCTTTTGATTATTTTTGGGACTCAGTTTGAAGAATTATGTGCTCACATGGCCCTCTGTTTCACACATGGTGACAGTCTGGTTGCGTTTGATCTTATATTAGCGGGAATGAGCCATTGTGCTCGCTTTTGTCAGCATTGTATGAAAACTATTCTTATTTCCTGAGAAGATGCCATTGCGGTGCTGGTTAGGATCTGCCCGTGCTACCGTATTAATGACTTTTGTAGTACAGTAGACTAGGCCACTAGTCAATGTTCTACATCAATTGTCTCACTAAGATGGTCCTTTTTTAATGGTGGATTGTGAAGGTACAAGAGTACATCATATTGACAAAAAAATTTTTTTTGGTAATTTGTGGTTAGAATAATTTGGATGTTATGCTGAGAGCCACACAGCACAGGATGGGGAATCCTTTGACTTACGGACAACAGTATAGTACAGTACCATACAGCATAGTACAGTACTGTATGCAATTACTTAGATATTAGTTAGTATCACCTTAGAATTATTATGGGCTGTATTATTATTTTTCTGACTTAACTACAAATTTGACTTCAAGACATACTTAGGGATCCGATTTTGTTTGTGACCCATGAACCACCTGTGTTCACTGTAGGGCAGTGACACACACACACACACACACACACACACACATATTCATATCTTTGTGGGGACTGTCCAGTCATTTCTATGGGAAAGACCCTAATCCCAGCAATGACACCCGTAACCCCTACCCAGCCCCAACCTTAACCTTAAATAACCAAAGAAAATACAAGACTTCTGGCATTTTTAGTTTTTTGATTGCATTCACAGATTTTTGTAAAATTGAGTTTCATTTTGTGTGGACCAAAAAAATGTCCCTACAAGGTCAAAATAGCATGTTTTTATGACATTGTGGGGACATGCGCCTCTATCTGGGAAGGCATAGGTCTGAATCCGCTGGCTGTCTGCACAGAAATCTGGCCCTGATAGGCCAATAACTCCAATGCTGTATGTTGCTTTGGACCAAAGATCCTGCTAAGTAAATATATTTAATGTATGTGTTAGAAAAGGTTTGGCTGCTGGGTAATGATTTCTATCAGCAGATTATAAATTGTCCTTCCCATGGGCTAATCCTTCCAAATCTGTGTGCTGCTGGAGGAGGCTTCATTCCTCAATTCCCCGGCTGTCTGCAGGGGTAATCAGATGTGTATTGGGCTGTTTTGGTCTGCAGCGATTTCCAGGGTGACTGGGACACATGTTGCAGTTTGGAGCGTATAGTCTTGCCACTTCAAGACAACAGCAGGCTCTCAAACACAAGATTTGTGGATGTTGTGGCTCTGTGGTCGTGTAATGGGTTGCGTTGTTTTCTAAGACAAAAGCTCTGGGAAGGATTATCAGAATGGGATGAGAAACACATTTTATAGTGCTTGCGGTGGCTCTGTTTAAAATTAGATTTACAATTTAAAACCGGCTTCTCGTTAGGTAGCTACATCTCACACAAACATACCAGCCATACGGACCTTTTAATTCAGATTTTCAAAAGTCACTCCTTAGCTACCTTCTCTGATTCTGAAATGTAAGGTGTAAGCAGTCATTTCATGTTCTGAAATTTTAACAAAAGGCCAAAAAATGGTTATTATGACATCCATCTATCTGTTTTCTGAAACCGGTTAACCTATTCAGGGTTGCGGGGGTCCAGAGTCTATCCTGGAGCCTACGGGCGCAAGACAGGGAACAACCCAGGATGGGGTGCTAACCCCTCACAGGCAACACTCACACGCCATACACTCACACGCCATTCACTTACACACCATTCACTCACACACCATACACTCACACGCCATACACTCACACGCCATTCACTCACACACCATACACTTACACGCCATTCACTTTCACGCCATTCACTCACACGCCATACACTTACACGCCATACACTTACACACCATTCACTTACACGCCATTCACTCACACGCCATTCACTCACACGCCATTCACTCACACGCCATACACTTACACGCCATACACTTACACGCCATACACTTACACGCCATACACTCACACACCATTCACTCACACACCATACACTTACACGCCATTCACTCACACGCCATACACTTACACGCCATACACTTACACGCCATACACTCACACGCCATTCACTTACACGCCATTCACTTACACACCATACACTCACACACCATTCGCTCGCACGCCATACGCTCGCACGCCATTCGCTCGCATGCCATTCGCTCGCACGCCATTCGCTCACACGCCATACGCTCACACGCCATACGCTCACACGCCATTCGCTCACACGCACTACAGCGACAACCATTTCTAAAATCCTCCTTTTTAGTGTTATGTTGTAAAATATGACTTTGATAATCAGTGATCCATCCTACAATTTTATCAGGAATTTAAGGGAAGTCAAGGCTTCGAGGTTCTGCCTGTCAGAAGCTTGTAGATATATTACAATATACGTGTGAGACATTTCTGCAGCGAGCCAGTCTATTCTCTGAGGAACAAGCAACAAGCTGGACAGAAAACAGGGGAAAAACATGAAACCTACACATCAATGGTAGAGTTTGCATCACTGTCTGTCCAGTACAGGGTCACAATGAGCAGAAAGTATGGCTTACCTGTTAAAAATAACATAAAAAAATGCATACTTGATTTTGCTGGGAAATTATATGTATGCATACAGTACTGTGCAAAAGTAGCAGGCAGTCAAAGGAAGTGTTTAGAGCTATTTATCTGGTTAGTAAGTACATATTTGCGAAACACCAGAACAAAAACACTATTTTACATTACAGCATATTCAAATTAAGAGCAGCACAAAAACTAACAGGAATTTCTTCTGTTCTCTCAGTCACCGATGTCTCCTTGGATGGCCAGATGATCACCGCTTCAGTTCCCAAACCTCTCCTCAGGGGCACCTCAGTCATTACATGTAGTTGTTAAATTTCACAGCCAGCACACTCAATTAATGAATTTAATTAGTTTAAAAAGTCAATGAGGTATTGATTAGCCGAATAAGGTGTGCTAGTGGTTGAGTCAAAAAATACGTTGATGTATTGGATCGTCGCTGCAGGTACTGGGGTGACTTTAGGAGAGGTTTGGTAGTGGCTAAGTTGACATTTTAACAGACACTATATCGCAGTTTTACACCAACATGAAAATAAACATTTTAAGCAGCATTTTCTTTGACTGCATAAGACCTTTGCACAGTTTTGTACATATTATATACACAGACAATACAGAAGACACGGGACTGTTAGGAATTGCTATGGACATGATGCATTCTTGGCCTGCAGAGGGCGCCCAACCACATCCTCACTGTCTTTTCCACAGTGTGCTTCAAAGTGCTCTTCTGCTGTGAAGCCATTTCTTCACCCAGTTTATGTATATGGAACAGGGGGCTTAGAGACACTCGGTGTCCTGGGTTTGGGCTGCTGGGAGGGGCCTGCGCTCCCTGTGTTTCTGCTTCAGCTTTGTACTACGATTAAGCACGCAGTACCGTGGTAAACCTCGATCATTAGAAGCTAGTTTAGGGGCCAGGCTTGTCACCAACGAGGGTGACCGAACATGTGGTGAATCTTCCCCTTGTTCTGCAGCAGCAGAGAGGTCAGTGCTCTGGTCGTGCTTCGACTCCACAGCAAGTCGCCCAAATTTAGGAATCCAAATGGTCACTTCCTTTAAAATATAAAGGACCTTTTCTGCCTTTATGTTCATATTCACATTCATTTCAGCTCTGCTGGTTTGACCTTGGGAAAATAAAGGGATTTATTGTGATACGAAGGAGAACTCAGATTTTATTCTGTTTAGTTGTTTCCATGTTAGAATTACAGTTCATACTGTAAATAGGATGATTATAACACCAGATTCAGCATGCTGAAGCCAGGGCAGAGAAAGCGGTTTGGTATTTCTAGGTTTTGACTGGACAGCAAGCAAACTATTCTGCTGGAAGGTCTGTGCTCAGAAACAGCGAGTCAACCCTTCAGTTAATGTTGTACACGGGCAATGTTGTACACGGGCAATGTTGTACACGCACACCACGGGTGTCTGTTACAAAACTGAAAGGTACTGATAAGACAGTGTAACAAGTTGAAGATTATACTCCTCTTCAAAGAGGAAAACATTTCATTTCACCGTCTTGGAAAATAGCCCAGTTTAATCTGCACAGCATCTGTACCACTCAGCTGAATATGCTCTTTATCACTCACACATCCTGTCTCTTATGTGCAGTTTCATTCACCCCTTTTTCTATCATTTGCGTCCTCTTGTAGTTTTCTTGAAACTGATCCCCGAAACTTTGCAGAGTACGAAGGGAAGCAGCCGATCCCCAAGCGTAGCAGATGAGAAACTCAGCACCTGTATTTAATGAAAAAAAAAAAAAAAACTGACCATAGCATTTCCACCCATCCATCTTCCAGCTGCCTACTTTTCCCCAAAAACTTTTTCCCGCATGGTCAGCGTGCTTATTTCAGACAGCAGCTAGCTAGAGTTGTATCTGATTGGTTAGGTGAAGAGTATTAAAAAAGTACCGTAATCTTCAGGCACGTCCACAGACTCCAAAACCATCTGTTTTGGGATGGAAAGAGGTAATTGATGAAACAACTGGGAATCCAAAAAGAGACAGAGAGGGAAATAAATTTGTTAAATAGTGGTTATATGGATTCATCCATAAGTTCAGCAAAAGATTTATCAGTCTTCATATATTTGGTCCAAGCAACTAGGCTCATTGATGGAAAAACTGACCATTTCCTAAAGACCATAAACAACTTTGATTGCTTTTTCTGAAAATGCATAGGCGACAACGAGCAAAACGTAGGAATTTTTGGCATCATACAAACACAGGAGAGGGAGCCAGGAAGCATTAAAGTAATTCATGGCAATTTCCAGAAAGCCCATAGATTTTTTTTTTGTAATGAACATATCCAAAGGAAATTGTATTACATGCACCATGAAGAGAGAATTTGAACCTGTCTGAAAATGTTCTCTCTCCAATGACCAGATGTAGCCCAGGAAATCCCCAGGGGGGGTACCCTAGGATACCAAATTTTTTATTTATTTTTGGACTGGCATCCCATCCGGGGTGTGTTGGGATTAGATCTAGGCCCCTCATGAATCTGTACTGGAAAAGTAGTTGGTCAATGGATGGTCTTTTTACTCTTTGATACTGTGCCTCAGTCTGTTTTTTGGTCTCACTGTCAACAGTCACTGTACGTATTTCTGTGCTCTGTTTGTTATTATATTCACCGTATGAAAATGGAATAACAGGAAACTGTTTTTTCCAGTTTAAATTCCAGCTGCTACTCATTGGTTCTCCGGGAAATCTTGGCCCTATGAGAAGGAAAGACTCGTTCAGGTGACACGTCGAAAATATGGAAACATTACAGCTGTTGCCAGGGAGTGACGGGCCAGAAACTTCTCTGTTAGAAACACTCCTGGACGGCGGAGACGTTAGCGATGCTTCAGCGGGACTGCGCCAGTCACTTCATCTACACAGCTCGGCTAGTGGAAAAGGGAAAAGCTCATTTTCTAGGGAGAAAAAATAAAAGCGTCCTTTTCGTTTTCCACAAGTGGCAGAGATGTGCAGACTTCATTACGGACCACTGGGGGGAGGCAGTAGGACACATGACGCTAGCACTGGGTGTGAAGGGGGGGGGGGAGGGTTGGCTGTAGCGTCTTGTGCCATTTCCTCTCTTACTTCTTATTTCCTACACACCAACCACTGGTAGCATCCAGAGCGTGTAGTCAGAGTATGGATTAGTCTTCCTGGTAACGTAGTGCAAGCTGAATCCTTGGGTTCCTTTAAATCAGAGCTAGATAAGATTTTAACAACTCTGAGCTATTAGTTAAGTTCTCCCCAAGCGAGCTCGATGGGCCGAATGGCCTCCTCTCGTTTGTATAGTTCTTATGTTCTTATGTTCCAGCAGGAAAGTGCCACTGGATATGTGGATGGATGGACCACCCTAGAAGTAACACTAACCACTTCTACTTACTAGCCGAAGTCCTTCCTTGATTCAAATTTTAAAATTAAATAAATATACTCTGTGATATTACTGGGGGATGAGGCTTCATCATTACAGACTATACAGACTATACTGGACCACAGTTTGCATGTACACTGCAAAAGTAACGCCAGTAAGCCATTTGGTGGCACTGTACTGGCCAAATAACCTTGTGGTTTTTGCACGGATATATTTCCTGCTTATTTAACCAGATGCTCAATAATAAGTTATTTTAATAATTGACTTTCATAACTATCACATGTAGCAATTGATAAGGTATGATGTTCGGACGTTCAAATACAAAGATTTTGAATGCACAAAATATGAAGAATGGGTACATTATTGCTGCCAATTATTTGCCTGATGTAAATATTCTGCAGAGCTGTCTCTTAATGGATGACTAAGAAATGAACGCACATTGTACTGATGATAATGCATTATGAGTTATAAAATTGGCAATTGCAGCATTATGGCTGTGACATTTAGAATCGCATTGAAAAACAAAATGACTCAGCACGGACAAGCTTCCAGTCAATGAGACAACTGGCGTATCTTTTCATGTAACCCTGTGGGCTGAATATAAACAAATTCTCAAAGTATAACTTAACAGCTACAATGTTTGAATAAAGAAATATGCATGTTTGTATCTGTTGTTCCCCTTTAAATTCTGCATTTTGGTTTTACCTCTCTATCACGCCCCTAGCCAGAGTAAATTTCGGGGGCTTCGTAATGCTACTATGAATTAGTTGCTGTTGGCTTCCTGGCCGCGTCTCATTGTGCCCAGGTCTCCTCAGCTCAGCTGTCATATCGCCGTATTTCCTGCTGAATGTATTGAATAGCAATAGAAGTAAAAGTTTCTTTCCCCCCTTGAATGTGGGGCTCTTACAAAAAATAGTTTCTAATAGTTCAGTCATTTCAAAAATGTTTGACAGGAACTTTTCCCATCCCTTCGGAGTCACTTAGCACTGAAAGATGTACACTTAGTATGTAGGTGTTGCTGCATTTCACAGAATCGTTCATCCAGCCGTTGTATAAAGATCTCAACCAAACAACCCAACATACATCTCTATTTTACTTCCTTTATGGCTTGAGCCACAACTGGTTTGATGATGAAGATGAAACCCTTTATTGCTGTTGCAATACACCATGTCACTAGTCACAAGTACCAGTGAAAAAACTGACTAATCATGTGACCCTTCTTTTTTTACTTCTCACTCTAGTTAAAAAAAAAATTGAGCTGACATTTAAACGTATAAACAAATAAGCAATGTTTAATGCAGCTGCTTGGCTTACACTAAAGTTTATGCTAATTCTTTTGCCATTTGTACAATTACGCATTCACAGGCATTCTTTCTCTATGAGACCACAGTTTGGGGTCAGGGCACTGGCTTGGACATTTTTCTGGCACCCCCGGAGCAGTTCTTTGGGTTAGGAACCTTGCTTAAGTTTGGAATGTCCAACAGTGATACAATCACTCTGCCAGCCATTGGTTTCAAACCAGCAACCTTCCGGACAGAGGTACAGACTCTGAACCTGCAGAACCACCCGCCACTCAAATGGCGAAAGCTAGTCTTATTTTGAACTTTAAATGGCAAACACATTCTAGTGCGCTGCTGTGAGATGTTCTCATCTTTTATCAGATTTCCCCTAAACTTTCCTCTGGAGTGTGTCACCCCCGGCCTCTGAAACAGCAGTGACCTCGTGCTGTTCTTTGAGTTTGCCTCTGTGCCTCTCTCTCTGGTAACAGAAAATGTGGAGGTTTAACATTTGTGTTTTGTTGCCCTGTACTTGTCTGTACTTAGGCTTCTGTGAAATTAGAACATTTCAGATACACATTCATATGCTCTTAAGTACTGCAAGTAAAGAGAAAGAATTTGTGGTTTGGGGTGGCTGCCAGTGGGCCGCTTCACACACCATTCTGTAAGCCGATACATGGGCTGGGAACAATGGCACTTGCAGTGCAGTCAGAAATTAAATTAAGTATATTGTCAGTTATCATCAACATTGAAGAAATGCAGTGAGTCTCAGTTCTGGCCAAATTTTCTCAGAAACGGGACTATTTCTGAGATTTGCTCTGCTTGGCCGCATCGTCGTTCATGTTGATTAGGTTATTATAAATGTGATGTTTGTGTTCATGTATGCTAGTTTAGCTTTAATTTAGTCTTGTAATGTGAAGGGGCCCAAAATTTGTGAGAGGAGGTCTTACTGGTGGAAACAATTCTGTATCAGTTTAGACTTTAAAGGGCTCTTTGCCGTCGTGCTGAGCTCCCATCTAAGCTATGTATGCATCCTGCACCGTTTCATCCACAGAGTTGTGCTGTCAGGTGCTGTCAGACGCGAAGCCTCAGATGTCTGCTAGCTTCCAGTGGGGTAACACATACTCTGCAGTATACAAACTTCGTCAGGCCTACTGTGCACAGTCCAGGCATCTGTTTTTTGTTCGTTATTCTTGTAATGCTCCCATTGACCACTAGTGGAGGCAATTGTTCTAGGTTTGTTCTACGGTCCTGGAATTTTGGATTTCTGTCCTTTATGGTTGCATTGGGTGTTTTGTTTCTTTTTCAGGTGAATGTAATTACTGCCAGGGAAAATAATTATATTCATAATCAGGGAGTATTCTCTGGATGTGTTTGTTACAGAATCTGTTGCCCAGAATGCAATTGACTGTGGACTCGGGAATTACCAAGAGTCACCAGATGTCTCACTGATGACAGTCAACTTCTGTCCTTTTTATTAATGTCTTCCTTTGGCCTTTCATGAAGATGAATACAGCTGCTGGAATCTATTGATTTAGACAGTACATAGAAAGTCAGTACCCATCTAATACATTTTACAAATCATTTCTGTGCCATTAATACGCACATAACAAGATTATATATACATATACAAATAAAAATATGTAAAAACTAAACCCAAATGTAGCTATTAAACAGTATTTTTATAAAGAAATTGAATTGTGTACAAATCAAATTAGAAGAAAGAATTCAACGCTCTAAGAGAATATATTATCAAATTCTCAAAAAGTCTCCTGGTGTTGCAGTAGAAACCATTCTGCTGAAAAAGAGACAAAAGCAGAGTTGAGACGAAGCAGATGTGCTTAAATAAAGAAAATAAAGAAAAAGATCCATCCTAAAGAGCATAAGGAAAATGTACGCTGGAAATAAAGGATGAAGAAACTGAGGGAACGTTGGAATGAAGAGCAGAAGCAGTGGTCAGGCTGAAGGGTGGAAGGAAGCCACCAGAGCGACGCTGAAAGGAGGGACCAGGGCCGGCTGCTTCCAGGTCTCTCAGAGCAGCTACGAAGGCCACCTCCATCCACATAACTCCTGTGGAGAGCGGAGAAGAAGCAGAGCTGTGGCCGGTGGTCGCGTCACCTGACCTGGACGCTGGCGGGGTTTCGCTGGAGATTCCCGGGACGTGTGCTGTGACGAAGATGTATGGTACAGTGACAATGAGCACTGGATGACACCCTAAGATATAACGCAGTAAAAGTAACAGCAAGCAAGACGATCATTCGTGCAGCTATGTGGTAGAAATGAAAACGGACACCTGATGAAGAATCTTTGGGTACCGTCTACAGTGATTAAAATGATGCATATTCAGATTCACACGTTGACTGCTGTGCAGCTTATTGTGGGGTTTACCTGAGCTCACACAAGCTTTCAAGAAATGTAGCGGCGGGAATGGTGGACTGATTGGGTCGAAAGTGACACGTGCTGAAAACTCTCCAAAACGAAAGAACTCCCCAAGTCAGATCTCATAGAAGAAAACCAGACGTTACCGCCGTCTGCAGGAATCGCATGCAAAAAAACCACACGGCTGCATTTTCAGACTAGCGAGTTTGTCAAAGTCAGATAAAGCACTGGGATGGAAAGTCGGGATACGGCGGGGAACTTTAGCAACTGGCATCTCCATGCCAGCCCACCTGTTCATCCTCTGGAAAGGATCGCTGGGGGCACAGGTGCAAAGACACTCCTGCTGGACACCTGGCTCGGCCCCCCGCGTGGAATCGGTCGGGCAGGCCGTGCTGCAGCCTCACTGAGGCACCTGCATGCCAGGCTTGCAGGAAAATCCCTTTAATCGCAGCAGCTCCCATTGACTGGGAGAACAATTTACAGACATGGAAAAGCTGCAACTGGAACTTGGGAAAAAATTGCTGCCGATGTCTGCATGGGCCACCACCTCACATTGGCCAGATACTCAGAAAGAAAAAAAATATATATCAGGTTATTTACTACTTTTTCAATAGATACGACTTGAAGTGTGTGCCTCTTCTACCTGAAAAGCTGAAGTTTTATACTGTAGGAAGAATAATTTTAGGTACCCGAAACAATGACTTGATTTTTCTGCCCCAAACCTAAGAGCAGTCTGTGAGTGTTTTGGCCAAAGTTCTCCCTTGGCTAGGGAACGTTCCAGATTGCTCTCTCTTCTGGAACAAAATGTATCAGATCAATGTTTTCTACTTTGTGGAACCTTTTGAGAGCAATCTGTATATTTTACATGCATACGCACCCATTTTGTGATGCTTCATATTCATTGGGAGCATGAATACTTGCATTTATCATTAATGAATTTACCAAACACTTAGAGAACATTATTCAGAATTATTTCTCACTTATAATAACATGGACAACACAAGAAACATGGATTAATGATTAGAGTTAACTGCATAGGTCAAAAGTGTACTTTGAAAATCTGCAGATTACAATAAAAGTTACAGTGAGATTGTTATTTTTAGTGAGACAGCTTCACGTTTGTATAATTGCATTCTGAGGATTCTGTTATCTTCAATAATCTTATCTCGCATAATAGCATTGTCAGTAAAACAGCGTCCTGCTGCAGTGGTTCTGTGTGTTGCACGGTAAGAACTGCCGCAGAATTTCCATGACACAAAAGCATGTTGTCGGAAGGTTTGTGGCACAAAAAGAGCAACAACGTGATAAAAAACACAATGCTGCTGAAAAAATACTGTCTTACGAAAAAACACAGCACTATGGTGGCTAATTGCATGGCAACAGGTATGGTATTTTTTATTTGCATAAATGCCCTTCCATACATTCCGAAAAATGAGGACCGCGGCCTTTCTCATGATGTACAGCTTTATGTAATTTACCGTAGCTCTTCTGTCATGCTCATTTTTACGAACCTTGTGGATTTTAGCAAGGAATGCTTTTGTTGCTTGCTAGATGCAGCATGTGTATGTTGCACCGAAACTAATATAAATGCCTGAGCAGGTAACAAGGGAGTAGGGTTAGGTTCAGCATTGGTGGGGGTCGAATCATCCCTGAACTCCCCCCTCCACCCCCCTGCACATATACTGTCCTCCCGGAATATTGGTATAGGTCCCTACTGTCCATATACCCAAACCTACGCCCTTGGCAGGTAAAGGGAAGCGTTGTCTGAATGAATCTACATGCAGGACGTATGGCAGGCGGGTGCAGGAATGAAAACCTAATTCCACCCAGGAGCAGCATCGTGTGTGGAAAAATAAGGAGAGAGAGAATGGAGACGGTAAACAAAACGGGTTCGGCAGAAAGCACGAGCAGCACAGACACGGGGCTGTTTGACAGCATGTTAGCCGAAAGGCGTGCATTCATGCTTGTTGAGATACGCATTCCTTAAAGCAACTCATGCGACAGTCTTCCCCAAATGTGCCCAGCTGTCAACATCTTTAAATTAATATTAAAAGAAGAACTGGTGGTGTTGCGATAGAAACCTGGCTGCCCTTGATGCATTTGTGTACAATGGGTAACTGATAGTGTAGCCTAAAGAGCGCACATACACATAGAACCAAATACAGTTACAGAGAACACACTAAGGCCTTGAACCCTTCATACTGAGAAAACTGCTTTTTTTTATTTGTAGTAAAAACAAAGGATTTTTTTTTTTTTTTTTTACACTTTTTCCCATTTATTTAACCAATGGAATTTCAAGTAACCTACATTTCTCTGAGGACAAGAGTTGAATAAACGAGACTCGCAATACGGTAGAGTTAAGGAATTATACATAAAAAAATATATATTTGCTTTGGTGGACAGCTTTGTTTACCTTTAAGCATAGGTGTACCGCCGTACACCTTTAAGTAAGCATCCGATGGATATTTGCTAAAACCGTTCAAATGTCGCGCCTGGCTATAGGGAATTACTGGGACCTGACCTACCTGTTAATCCAGTACATATATGAGAGAGGTGGATTATTTGAGACATGGCAGTGCGCGCCCCCGGCACCCAACCTCAGGCTTAGCGCGGCACCTGCTGATTCCGCGCCTCCAACACAGTGTGTGCATGTAGAACTTTCTAGGTATTAACTAGCTCGTGTCTATGTTGGAGACCACAATTAAAAAAATATTATTTGTATAATATACTATGTTACAAATTACAAATCTAAAGTAACAGGAACAAAAGTAATCGGTAAAAATATGATTATCTTTAGTTTTGTTTTTAGCGGGAGAGTTTCTAGCTGTTGGAAAGACCAGGGAATAAGTCAAGTTTACCTGGGGCTTGACTTTTTTCTTATTTTTGAAAGAAGATCGGGGCTAAAATACAAGCAATGTCATTTAAGGACGCCCATGGGTTTTAGTGCGCTCTTCCAACGAAACATGTTAATTCAGCTCGAAACATCTTAATTACTCCTAACAAGTGTTGGTCTCCAACCACAAATCTTAGTTAAAGCATATTTCCATTAGCGTTGTAAGTAATTAGACTACGTTTCTATCATTTAATATACTTTCACGGTATCTATTACACAAAAGCCAACACGTAAAATGTAAAGACTTCTATATATAAATGTAATATATTTTTTAGGTTAAAAGGGTTAAATCTGGTTGCACAAAAATAATAATGGTGGTTTAAATGCTTGTAATACTGTTGAAATCTGTAGGCATAAATCGAACGACCTCCCTCGGGTTGTTCAATAATATAGATACAACTCGAAGAATAAAACACAAGCATTATGCTTTCAACTGAAGGGAACCTCTTCAATACCAGAAAATATTTTCAGTATTTAAACATGCAGTACGCCACAACCGAGGTGAATAATTCACACAAAACTGTATGACTTATGTGTGTATCTAAGGAACGAGACTAATTATGTTACAGAAATATGAAAATGTAATAAGAATACTGAACACGGCTTAGTGGCGTCAAGTAAAATCGTACAAAGATATATTTAAGAAAATAAAATTGTAAAATGTTTGTCTTAAATAATAGCAAAACATAAAGCATAAAACAAACTGCCACACTAATAACGAGTTTTTTGGAAATGTTATTTAGTAATTATTACATTTTGAGTGTGGAGGAAGTATATGAAATTATTTTCTTTTCCATTTTGTGTTTTGAAACTTTGTGATTTTATGTTGTGTGTTGTATATTCCGAAGAAAACGACAGTGATTAAGTTTATATGGTCACGAGCAATTATATATTAGAGCATACAAATGCACATCATTTTCTACAGTATAAGACTGCTTAAAAATAAATTAAAAAGGAATTTTGGCAGGTTTGGTTGATATATGAGAATCTACAAAAGAAAGAAAGAAAAAAACCTGACTGTGGCAACGTATAAAATCTGATTTCAGCATGTGAGCAGTAAGGACCAGTTTAATTTTACAGCATCTGAGATAATTTATATNTATATATATATATATATATATATATATATATATATATATATATATAAATTAATAAATCACAACATGGAATGTTACTAGAATGTTACAAATATTTGGTGCCTAATTTATATTTACATATATACAAAATAAGACTATTTTTAAGGTGTATACTATATTAATAACGTTTATTTATCTATGTTTGTAACCCAAAGATAGCAAATGAATAAAGTACAGAACTTTGATATTTTGCAATTAAAATGACAAATATTAAATATAAACAGCGTATTCAACAAGCAATGCTAAATCTTAGGTATTCTATAAGTCGTGTGGAACTTTCACACACAACTGATAAATCGCATAGAACTATTCTTTTTAATTTAAATAAATCAGAAATCCGCATTGTCTTTATAAGGCATACAACGCATTTTAAGAAGGTGAATTTAATACGTTTGATTCAATCTTTGTTGATTTTGGCTTTGTTTACAGTACAGCTCTTGGTCACACAAAAAAACACTTTCCCCTTTAAAACTGAGATACCTAAGTGGCCATTTCATTACATTTTACACTCAATTTCATGTCCCTCTCAAAGTATTTGTATTTATTTTGGCTTCCATTGATTTGTAGGACTTGTACAGCAACATATACACTTGCAAATGTCAAGGACATAATGATGTTTACTCAATATGTGATAAAGCAAATGCTATGAAAATTGGTCAGATATATATGTTTCCTGTGACATGCAAATATGCTGCCCACAACAGCAGTGATATATGACTGTAAATTATACTAATAAAATATTAAACTTACATATTGCAGTGTCTAAATAATTTATAAATAGTATGTAAGCAGGTGTAAGGGGTCATATAAATTATGGTTTGGAACAGTCTGTCCGACTTGTGTACGTAATAAAATATTGAAATAAGTATTACTCATGGTATTGCTCATTTAAAGACATTTTACGCACTTCTTTTGAAAATGCATGGTCTTATTCGGCTGTCTTCTCATTTCTTAAATATTGATCACTTCTGGCTATTATACTCCGTTTTTAAATTGCCGGCCAATTAAACTTGCTGTACAGAATAATAAGAGCAATTTTTAAGCCAGCAAGTGCTGTACGCGCGGTTAAAAACACGGAACGCGGACCAGTGGAAGGGCTCTGGCGGAGAAAAAGACCCCAGTATTTAAAAACGAAAAGGAGGCAGCACTAGCCCATGGCATTAACACTCTTCGGGAAGCAAGCTTAAAAAGAATGTATGTGTTAATATAACCTTGAGGCATATGCATGTTGAAAAGCATTAAGTACCCAACCAAATATAATACAAGCAAGTAAACTGACAGAATATTTGGGGCTTGTTTTTATCCGGTTGAGTTTACTATTTCTGCCCCTTTCTCTGTCAATAGGATGTTTTTAAGTGTTTTTTTTTTAATCTCTTCTCCCCCCTTTTATAAACTACGCCATCAAGTGCAATACTAATATATTACCAGCAACACCCCCCCACTCCGTGCGTCTCATCTATTCCTTCTCCCAGGCGACAGTAAGATCTCATAAGGAGCCTCTGTTCGGGCCGCCTGAATGGACTTTGAGGAGGAAAAAAAACGGACGATCCGCTGATACCATCAAACAAACCAATATATCTGGACAATGTTGCTGCATGTATGAGACCGAGGACACGTTACTGCAGTTTTAAGACAGAGCACCAACAGCACGATACTGCAAGACACTATCAAGCAATATACAGCTAGCGGGCAGCTAGGCAGGCTGCGATCCTGCCACAAATTGTACAAGCTGTATAATATTATTGTAAGATCTCTATTTTGTCCTCTTGTACCTTGTAAGGGGGGTTTCTGAACGGACTGCGGTAGACTTCGTGCCGGACGTTTCTGTTTTATCTGCACGGGTTGTTTCTCCCCTCCGAAGATCACGGATTACTTCTTTGCGAAGAGATATGGATGTATAATAATAAAAACAACAACATCGAGGAGATGACAAGGCGCTGAACTGTCGTGCTGCTAAAGCCTATTAGCTCCAACTTTTAGGGGGGTTGGCAGTTTCGCTTGGCAATGGTACGTTAACAAATAAATTTCATCATTATTTGTCGTTATTCCAATAGACGCACTGCAGGGCTTGTTAAGCGATGTGCGTTTTTAAACTAGTAAATATAGCGCACATGTATATTTGTTATTCCTTATTAGCTTACTCGAGTTACTCCTTTTTGTCGATCCTTAGCCAGAGCGAAGGTTTGCGGGAAGCGCTACTAGGCTAAATACTGGCGAATATTTCTGTTATAATGTGCATATATGTGGGAATGGGTGGCCTCACTGCCATTTTCTGCGCCGCACAACTTATCGGCGTTATGTCCACCGTGCTGCGGAGACGTACCGCCGCCGCGGGACCCTCGCAGGCCAAGTTGAAGTTCAAAGCGAAAGATACTCGGTAGCCGGTGCGGAGTTTGCGGAGCTCCGGCAGAAAATGGCCGCAGCCGGAGCCCGAGGCGCGCCGGCGTGAGTGTGAAGCACAGACCGGCAGAGGCGCTCGGTCGCGGTGCCTCGTCACACTCAGCGTGCCGATGTCACACAAACTTGTGAAGATTGTCCCTGTCTGCACTGAATACATAAAATAATTTTCACTTACGCAGTTTTTAAATTTAACTTCGGGCCTAAAGATACTATGCTGACAAAACTCTGTTAAATACCGGAATAATCGCATATGAAAATGTTACATGTGTGCCTGGCTTAAAGCTTAATAGTAGCTCATCTTTTAAGTTTGGAAGATAATACTTTATTCCCAAACGGATGTTTTATTTTGTGTCCACACTGATAAACAAATATTGTGAAGTCCCGCTGGTTAAATGTCAATATTATCTGCATTTACTTTTATAGGGCCTAAACCTTAATTGATTAAGTTTTTAGACAACAATTTGACAGTTAATGTATTTTTACTGGTCACTACTATTTCATGCATTTGTCGTAATAATTAACGATATAATTTAAATAGTGCTCTAATTAAATTACATTATCTTAGTTAAATATTGTGCGCAGAGATCTATAAAACTAACAGACGTCTCGTAAGGGGTTATGGTGATAGGAATATCTGGTGAAGTTCAACGGCCTTTGGTTATTCTTTTAATGTCATAGTTATCCACACTAGAAGTAAGCCTACAGAAAACATTTAAATCAATATATTTATCTTGCCTAGCAAATGTAGTTAGGCTGCCGTATTAACCCCCTGATTTTGTATTTTCTCTGTTACCCCTTGTCCCTTTAATCGAATATGCTGTTTATTATATGTTTCTGTGGATATTTTCCGTACAAGTAACCGTCACCTACATATCATGGCTAAATTAGGCGATTAAGATGTCTGCAGATCGCGACCGGCCCTTTGGCTGAGCGGTCAGGAGGAAGGAGGCATGCAGACAGACTGCCAGGGGTTCATGGCAGAACCGGGATACTGGGATAGCTTCTTACCCAAAGCTACTTTATAAGCACGGTTAATTGGACACATCGATAAAAATAGTACGTTGGCTTAATTCCCTTAGTTGTGGTTGCCATGTAATCTATTCTGTTTTTGTTTACACTATTCCCGACAGACCGGAAAAGTGCTTTTTGTGGTCTTCATATTTTGCTTCTCAGATACACTTGTGGTTCACAAACGGAATATTAATGACCTACCGGAGAACCACTCTGTTTTCGCAACTGTAAAGTTTCCGACAAATTGAAGTAGAAATGGAAAAATATGTTTAAAATGTAGGTATTTATTGATTTATGCGTTCTGCGGCCTTTAAAGCGGTATTAAATTAACAGTGTTTTTAATCCGAGCGCTTTTACATGCACTTTCTCGCTGTGTTTGTTTAATTAGATATTTTATACACAATATACCCTCATCACCAATAAACACTGAATTACCCGGCTAGGTCAGTGGGGTTGCATTCTCCTCAGGCGCATTTTTCTAAAATATTGTCTTTGCAATGCGCGACCTCAGTGAAGTGAACTGTTGCACGAGCACTAACGACAGAATCTTTCGGACCCTTGCACACTTGGACACCCTCCACCCCATGTGTACGCATTTCTCCGTAAGTGATCAGGCTTTTCTTCATTTCTGTATGATGGATCATCCGCGTCCTCAGCCTATCTGTGCATCGTGGCCATAAACTCCTCGATCTGGGACTATACTTATAAACCACGCAAACTAAAACACGCCTGCCCGTATAATTATTTGCTCCGACTGTCGATTTTTGATTGGGGAAAGGGAGGGAGGTTTTCTGCGGGTATATATGGAAAACATCAAGTCATATGGTTTCTGTTTATGTCAGCCGTGTCTGTCCTACCCTGCGAATCAGCGGCGGCGTGTAGTTGTCACTCGTTTTATATTTTGCCGTGTGAACGGATGACCCTGCTCCGTGGAAATCAGGGATACTGCATCTTTAAACTATTTTTTTTCTGGGATGGGCTATATTCATAACGTCATTTCTCGTTCTTTAATTTTTTTCATCATTTCGTAAATGGAACAGATTTGCCAACACTCCACCTTTCCAAGTGTCCTCTGAGTTTTATTCAAGTTGTTATTTCTATCCTCCACGAACTTTGCATGTGATCTATGTGGTCTAGCACAGTCTCATTTTGAAGTCGTTTAATTCCAGCGGACCTAAAAGCGAGGCAGATGCGATGATATAATGACGGTGTTGAAATGTGAAACAAATATTTTGTAACTTTCTCCGTCTTTTGCCACATTTTCAAGTCATTTTCATTGCATCATGATGTATTCGCCCCTCTGCCTTACTCAGGTAAACGCTTCGTTTTCGCCTCTATAGCCGTAACTTTGAGCGTGTTTGCGCGCAGTCTGCATGGCCGCAGTGTTTCAAGCGCAAAGGTGAGAAAAGGGCGGGATACAGCTTCTCCAGTTTCCCTCACCTTGCCGGGTTTTCTTTGTTTGGATTTCGGTTATGATTGTCTAAATATGAAAATATGTTTTTTATGGCTCAGGGGAGTGCGCTTTAATGTGTGTTGTTATTTGTTTCTGTCATCGCTTTATTAAAACTGCGTCGACTTTGCGGTATTATATTAAAAAGTACACTGAGTATTTACGGTGCATATTTCACATCACGTTTTCGTTATGCGTGTGGGCTTGCTTTCAGTGTTACGGGGAAGGTTGCGGTGGAGATACAGTAGCTCACTTAAAATGCGCTAAACTGTGCGCCAGAAAAGGGGCCGTTTTTCTCCGTTGCTGGATTCGCTGATTTAAAGTTGCAAGTTACCGTGAAAAACTAATAGAAAACTAACGCGAAAACTTTTCCAGATAACTTCCAAACCCCGTGCATTTCTGCAGTTTTCTGCTTTTCAGTTTGTTTATGCCTTAAGGCGCTTTCAGTGTATAATGGACAGTAAATGACAGTAAAAGTAATTGAGACGTTTACACTCGACCGCCAGCAGAGATACTTAAATATATAAGAGCACAGATGAATGTTGATTGGCAGGGAAACAACTGAAAGAAGTTTTCTTTCATCATTTATGTCAGTAAGTTATTGTACTACTGTATATATGTGGAGGCAAGGTAGACTTTTCTCGCTAAATAGTATGTGTACAGCGTATATTCTTGAACTATAGTTCGTGACGTTCTTAGTATTTTGTCTTATAACCTCATAACAACTTAACATAGAGATGTTCTCCTCTAAGTACGACAGCATTACCTGGAATGAAAATATAATTTGTCCTAAATTCCTGCCAGCTTATGGTAAGGAGCGTTTCCAGAGAAGCGTGCAAGCGTGTGCCAGAGGGAGACATATCAGGGCTTGTCTTTGGTGAGGCACGAACGGAGATTTATAAAAGTCATTCACATTTACATTTTGATCACTTGGCAGCCGGTTTTAGACGTAGAACAAAATGGACACGGTTCTGCGCGATGAAACAGAACGTGAGTTCGGATGCTGATAATTACAGGTCACTATAAGAGTAGGAGAAGTTCCTCATGTCCAGCATGATAGATGCGTGTGTGTGTGTGTGTGTGTATAAAACTCTAGCTTCTTGCAGGGTTAAGGATTGACAAACCCCTGGACAATCAACAATTTAACAGTTCCAAAATTAATTAAATTGTAGGCATTCAAACAACTTACTCATAATCTTTAGCTTGCATAATTAAAAAATGTGTTTTTTAAGTTTACTTTCCGTAAACGGTTTCATAAATTATGGAATATGACAGCAAAAATAAACATTGTAAATTTCTCTTCATTGTGCTCCAAGGCACAAATCAGACCAATATGTCAGCTGTTATGGTAATTCTGTGCATAACTGAGCAGTGGTAATTATAAAATTCCAGTAGCTTTTCACCTGTCCTGGATTCGGGGTGCAGTAGGAATCTCACTTTACTTGAAGGCAGCTTCTACTTCGGGGTGGTGTCCAGCTTTACTGACCGTGAGTAAAATACGCAGAAATGTTGTTGGATGAAATCTGTAAGCCGCTTTGGATGAGGCTGTAAAGATTCATAGTGTGAAGCTGGTGTATTTGTTGGAAAATAAGTTATTAAGAGTCACAAGACTCAGCTTTTTTGTACTTTCAGTGAATTTATAGGTGGTTATAAAAGCCTTTGATAGAGAGCTGGCAGAAGTTACATCATCCTGAGGTAACGAGGGGGTGTGAAAGAAAGCCATGTGTTCTGTAGGTTGCAGAGAGACAGCGCGTGGCCGGGTGGCAGGTCCTAACTGTGTGGTCACCTCCTGCACACAAAGCTTTGGCAGCGTAGCCCACACTTTAACACATTTCAGCGTTGCCACCTTTGCGCAGACCAGCTTCTGCGGAGACTTAGCCAGAACGGAATCTTTGAATCAACCGGTTTACCATAAGCATGGAAAGTGTTTTAACGTGATTGTTCATATCAAGGTTTCCTGGTGCTTAAAGTGATCTGGGGACCTGTAGCGTCCCTTTGAAATTTACTCCCGTTTGTCTCGATGACACAGAAAGCGAAATTTAATTACGTTGGTGAATTAATGTCACCGTAAATGTAAAATATATTGTTATTATTACTTTTAACAGAAGACCTTTGCAAATGAATTCCTTGTACAAAAAAAAAATAT